TGTCTCCCTGCATGCACCATATTACTATACCCCATCTAGTAACCTATTCTCCAAACTACAGCCAGAAGGGTATTTCCAACTCAGATCACGTCAGTCCCTGCTTAAGATAAGCTTCAATGGCTTAGCGTTTCTCTTAGAATAAAATCCAAAATCCTTATTATTGCTACAAGGTGTAGCTCTCACCTCTACAGATTCAACTTGTACTTTACTGCATCCTTCTCCCCCTCACTCTCCACTCTAGCCCCACTGGCTACCTCAAATGGGTCATTCTATCTCCAGCCACTCGGCTTTGCCTCAACCCTCTGCCAGCTCTTGTAGCAGTCTAAGAAGTTGCTTCTATTTTAAAAGATGGATGGATGGATAGATAGATAGATAGATAGATAGATAGATTGATTGATTGATTGATCTGGGGCTGGGCGCGGTAGCTCACACTGTAATCCCAGCACTTTGGGAGGCCAAGGCAGGTGTATTACCTGAGGTCAGGAGTTCAAGACCAGCCTGGCCAACATGGTGAAACACTGTCTCTACTAAAAATACAAAAAATTAGCTGGACGAGGTGGCAGGTGCCTGTAATCCCAGCTACTTGGGAGACTGAGGCAGGAGAACCGCTTGAACCCAGGAAGCAGAGGTTGCAGTGAACCGAGATCGCACCACTGCACCCCAGTCTGGGCAACAGAGCGAGGCTCTGTCTCAAAAAAAAAAAAAAAAAAAAAAAGGTGAATGCATTTTTATGGCTGGAAAAGAGGACACTCTTCTTTTTTTTCTTCTCCCCCTCCCTACCTTTTTCTAATGTAGTACTTTGAGTTGCTGTTTTAATAAAAGGACATTCTTTCTCTGGGACAGGATAGACAGAGATCAGTGATGACCATAAGGCAAAAAGATCGAAAACAATGCGTAAAAAGAGTCACAAAACCTAAGTTCTAGTCTTTGTTCTGTCATTCACTATCCATGTGATTTGTTTTTAATTTACATATAATATGTAACTTTTTTTGGCCTACAGTTCTATGTTTTTAGCACATGTAACCACCACTATAATTAGGATGCAGCAGTTGCATCCTGAAGCTGCCCTTTTGTAGTCAAACACCTCCTCCCCCCCGAACCTTGGCAATCCCTGCTCCATTCTTCGTCTTATAGTTCTACCTTTTCCTGATATGCTTAGTCTCTCTGAGTCTTTTTCTCCATAAATAAAATTATATACACACACATGCACACACACACATATACATCATCTTCATTACATTAAAATATTAAGTTATTTATGATGATTGTCTGCTGTGGCTAAAAAACCTGGTCTATGACAAGCATCCCATTCCTTCCACAGTTTATATTTAGAAAAGGCTTTCTCTAAGTTTGTCCAGTTTTTGCAATTCCGCATCTTGAACTTTCAGTCTTCTCCAGAAGGGTGGCTCCAGCTCAGATTTCTGCAGGTTACCCCGATACACCAGTAGCTTTGTTCACTCCTACAAAGCTAGGAGCTGCAAAATATTCCTTTACCCCTCCTGGTGGCTGTCCTTTCTCAGTTAGTTAACCACACTGCCATAGTCTAAGCAGCCTAATTATCCTTTCAGCAGTCTTTGCTACAGGGCTTCCAAAATTGTTCTAGCTCTTTGCTATTTATGAGCATAGCTTGTCACTGAATGTCTAAAGGTAATACTGATGCCACTGTCAAATCAACATGTCAGCTGTCGTAGAGACAAGCTTCACTTCCACCTAGATAGAAGATCTAATATTAAAAAGCTCACTCCCTTGGCTCATAGGGTTGCTAACACTAGTTAATCACAAGAATGCTGTATATAACATTATATGGATTTTAATAAGTACATCTGCAAAATCACTCATAATTCTTTTGTAGTACAATGGATGAGGTATAACTATAATTGTTTGGATAACTGGATCCAAAAAGTGGTGATTAGTTAATTGATGTCTTCCTAAGACAAGGCCTCCAGTGGTATGCAACAAGTAACTTAATTTAGTCCTATCTGATTTACACATTTTAATTAAGGAATGGCTAAAGATATATAAATATGATTATCAAATGTATAAATGTCATAGTAGGGATAGCCAAAAAAAAATTATGTTAGAATCATACTTCAAAAATACTTCAAACATACTCCATTTGCAAAACAAAAATAAATAAAAACAAAAAACAAAAATAAAAAATACTTCAATAAAAATCAATAAAATGGCACAACATAGACTAATAAGTTGAAATGTGATATGAAGAAAAAGAAATTCACTACACAAACATAGAATGAGAGAGACCTAGTTTCACAGCAGGCTACATAGTAAGATCTTGGTCTGTTAGCAATTTTAAATTCAATATATGCCATCAATGTGGCACAGCTTACTTTAAAAAAAAAGTTCCCACTATGACATTACTCTTTTCAGACTCACTAATGAATTCCATGTTACTAATTGCAATGGTTAATTCTCAACCTCATTTCAGCTTGTAGCAGCATTTAACGGAAGTATTCATCAATCCTTTTGTTACTACTTTTCTTTTCCTCGCTTGACACTCTCCTGGTTCTCCTCCTACCTCACCAGCTGCTCTTTCCTGCCTCCTTTAAGACTGATGACTTCCAAATGTACATCTCCAGCCCAGACTTTTCCAATGAAGTCCAAACTCTCATATGCATCCCCCTTGTCACCACAGAAACCCCTACCTCCACCTCCCTACCCAAATCTGCTTTTTCTGTAGTCTTCCCCATCTCAGTAAACAGCAACTTCATCCTTCCAATTGCTCAGGCCAAAACCTTTGAGTTACTCTTGATCCCTCTCTCTTTTGTCATACCCTAGATCCATTCCATCAGTAAATCCTGCTGACTCTGCCTATACAGTATATCAGAACCTACCCTCTTCTCATCACTTTACTCCTGCATTACCTCCCCTTGGGATTGTTGCCGTAGTCTCCTAAATGGTCTCCTTACTTCTAACTCTGAAACCCCATACCCACACTCTATTCTCAATCCTGCAGCCAGAGAGATCTTTTTAAAACATGCAATCATCCAGTGTTCATTCTAAGACTATTTACTGAGAACCATCTATGTGTAAGACACTGTTATAGGTGCTGAGAACACATTTGAGAACAGAAGAGATACAAATCACTGCCCTCATGAAGCTTTTGTATCCTGGAAGGGAACAGATAATAAACTATAAATAAATAAATCAGTAAATTATATGGTAGATCCATAGTGCTATGGGTAAAAAAGAGAGCAGGGTAAAGGGAAGTAGTACCAAGAAGAAAGGGATGTGTTGCAGGTTCAGGGAGACAAGTCTAGGCTTCACTGGCAATGTAACTTCTGAGCAAAGACAAAGGAGGTGAGGGCTTAGCCATGCAGGTATCTGGAGAAACAGCACTCCAGGCAGAAAGATGTTCCCATTAAATCTCTCAGGAAATATTTGTGGTTTCTTAGACCTTTAACTGAGCACATGATGGGCTGAAAGATGTAAGATTTTAAACTTGTTTTTAATCTAAATATTACTTGTATTTTAATTTGTAAGTACTTTCTTAATAAGCCACAAGTGCTTTTTTAGAAATGATAATTTAAGTGAAGTATTAGAAACTATTCATGCAAGGAAGTTTTCGTTCTTTTTCTAAAATTTAATTATGAGTTTTGTCTTTCATTTAGTTGAGTTTCTTTCATGGCCCATAAAAAGCAGTCTAAAAGGCCTGCATTTTTTTTATAAGCACATATGACATATCTAATATTTAGGGGAAAAAAACACAAAAAAACAGCAAGTGCACCAAACCTGGGAATCAACTGGATTTAGCTTGCTAAGAATATATAACTTTTCAAATACAAATACCAACTGATTTTTCAGATTAAGCCAGTTATAAAACTAGTAATAAGCAAAGTCATCAGATTTACTAACACAATAAATTTAGTACAAAATTATGGATTTTTAAAAGCTTGTTAGTTTCCACCTAATTGGATGAGACTAGCACAATGTTTGTTTTTACCTTCCGGTGGCCTGTTGGATGTTGCCACAACGACGACCCCGTTTTTGAACAGATTTTCAAAAAGCTGTTTCAGAATCATGGCATCAGCAATGTCAGTGACCTATTGACAACAACATATTTGTTTTATTTTAATTTCACTTCTGCTCTAACAAATTTGCTAATGGATCATCTTTTTTTTAAGATGGAAGTAAATTCCAAGAGAAAAATTCTAATTATCATCATGAAGAAAAGAGTAGATAATTAAAATCATGAAACACTGTATAGCAGCCTTTTAAACTTGACTCTTCTTTTTGCAAGCCTATCATTTCTACACAAATTACCAAATGGTTCTATGATAACTTCTTTTATAGAACTACAGGTGGAAAGCATAGATAATTGTCCTAAACATTTAGGAAGTCTAATTAATTAGAACTAACATGACCAACACCCTCCTCCACTTTCCACCCGTTTCTCAACCCCCCCCCAAAAAAGAGAGATGAAAAAAATAATAATAATAAAATACACAGGCTGTTTGAGATTTCTAATACCTTTCTGGCAAAGGTCCCTGGAAAGGTGACTTTAAATGGTCATGGGACTTTAGAAATAAGGACAAGTAGCCAGTGAGACATAATCAGCTGCTGTTGAAAATAGAATGATATGACATAGATACTATTGTGCAATTGTTGCACAAAACAATTCAACAGATGGCCCATCACAAAAATAAGCAATTTCATTGTTCTTTTTAAGTGCCTTCTATTACTGTCCATGAATAATCAAAAGGCACTGCAGTCACTTCCAGCACAGCCAGCCTCTGCTAACCTTCACAAACACAAATATTCCTTCTACCAAAAAAAAAACACAAAAAACAAAACAACCTTTCAAGAATGGCTAATATAGTCCCTTAAAAAAATAACTTGTGACAATCCTAGAAATGCATAATACAGATAAAACTATTCCATCCAAGTTAGGTTACAGAGAAATATAATTATTGGTCTTTTCTAAAATTGTTTTTTAAATTCACAATTATGAAGTAAGCTTAATGATATAACTTTTTCTAAAGGCTTTTAAAATTCACAAAGAAAGACAACAATTAAGGAGAGAAAGAAGTTGACTCCAAAAATAAATTTGTAACGAAGATTGACATCAATCATTGTAAGTACATAATAACATGGGCTTTAGATACTCCCAGTGTAAAAATGTCTTGATCTTTCTTTGATAGCACATTTCAAATAATCTCAGTACAACTTGCTTTACATATATCCACAAGATATAGTACATTGTTATTTTTAAACCCCATTAGAGGACATAAAAATTGGTGAATTCTTTCAATTAAATCAAAATCCTAAAAGTTACAAACTGAATGGTTATAATGCAATTAACAATAACCTGGGTTGCACAAGTCTAAATCACTTTTCTTTTTACAGCTAATATCTTACTCAAAGTTTTAATTATTTCTTTCCCACCTAAAAACAAAACCATGAAATAGGGATGTATTTTTTTATTTTTTATTTTTTATTTATTTATTTTTGCTGTCTCAAGTTATAACTAAAAAACTGCTAAAGATTCCTTACATTAAAAAGACTTCGGGAACTTCAAAATGGTGATTAAATGAAAAGGAAAGTGGTGCTGATATTATTTAATTTAGAGTTTAGGATCACTGTCAAATTTGGCTTCCGCAAAAACACTGACAGAGAAAGTCCTTTTCAAATGCTTGAACACCAGTGGCATTTCTGATGAGAGGACAGAACGAGCTTGCACATTTTAATAGTAACTGCACTTTTAAATTACATTGCCAATACACTGACTTTTTAAAAGAACAATATCAATGAAAGGTTGCCCGATTTTAGAGAATAAAAATGGTCATTTGACTATATCATTAATGTCTTTGAAAAAAATGTAAAATAGCTTTTGTGCCCTAAGGTTTAGAAAACTGAAGGGACATTTAGCTTATGACACAATACAAAGGTTTAAACTGAAAGTTGAAGAAAGCCAACAGTAAAGGCTTGTGGTTGAGTTATAATTTGCTGTTTTTATATTTCAGAATGTTTTTGCCCTATCAGAGCAAATTAGCTTGGAGAAGCTATGACTAATTAATAAAGCAGGAGTCACTTGGTGTAGCTGGGTGCCAGTGTATACTCTTTTGATCTTGTCCCCGCACTTGTTCAGCCTTGCCGGGGAACAGTAATTTTACAGTATAAGTGAACAGAAGACAATTGGCCACACATTCTTGGAGAGCTGGCTTTTTCAGTACCCAGCATTTCATTACCACCACGAACAAAAGAGAAGGCTACAGATTACCAATAAGGGTAGTCTGCTAATACAGAGAGTGGAGACATTTCATTAGCATTAAAGAGAAAAGATTTTTTTATAACCTAGAGTTGCTTTCCATTATGACTCACTTAAGTAGAAAAGGAAAAAAAAAAATCTAATGGTGAATTTACATGTGTGAGTGCTTGAGTCTCAGTCATCCACTGATTGGTACGGTGCCATATAATGAGTGACAAACATAAGCATGCATTATCAGTAATTAGGATTAGCACAAAAATAAGCACCTAGTTTTTATTAGCAGTTTTTAATAGCTTTCTTCCTGCTTCATAAAAATAGTTAAAACTATTTTTTAAATGATATTGATAGCTTATAGAGGAGAATTTTGCATGATCTTCTGCTCATCAGAATTCTTTTTTTTTTTTTTCTGGACCGGTATTAGTAAAACATCTATTCAATGTCCCTCTCAGAAGAGATATGAAGAAATAACATTTTTAAAAATCAGTTTTCCTCACTAATCTGATGTCTTCAGAACATAAACAGTTTAACATGTAACATAAATATTCCAAGAGGACATAATGAAGATCCTAAGGAAAACTCTGAAGATAAGCTATTATTTATTTCACTAACCAAAACACATTAAAAAAAAACAACCTATCCAAACACATTTCTCAACCAAGATAAGAATCGAGTATCTAATACCTCAGGCAAAACTGAAATGCACCTACTCGAGCGTAGAGGGTGGGAGGAGGGGGAAGAGCAGAAAAAAGAACTATTGGCTACTAGGTTTAAACCTGGGTGATGAAATAATCAGTACAGCAAACTCTTGTGACACATGTTTACCTCTATAACAAACCTGCACACATACCCCTGAACCTAAAATAAAAGTTTAAAAAAGCTGAAATGTTACACTTAGTAAGGAAGACCAAGCTAATGAAGAACATTCTGCAAGTGTAATCTGAATGCTTACCAAAACATAATCTTTAAAATTCCTTAAATTCAAGAGCACAAAAAAGGAGTATATCCGTGTTTTTAAGCAGCAATAATTACCATTCATTTCCCTAGTAAAATAAATATTATATTAATTAACACCACCTAAAGGCCAATAATAACTAGCTAAAAATCAAGGCTACTAATACGATTCCATTTTAAAAGTGAAGTGGTGATTGTAGATAGATATACTGTCGCTAAGAATAAAGTGCCTCAAAAATTCTTTCCTAATAAATCAGCAAGTATTGTACTAGGCTTAATAGGCCTAAGGATAATTTTTAGGCTCCACCACTAAAACATCTACCAAAACCCCACCCAGCTCTAGAACTGTATATTTAAACACATAATACAAGACTCTTCATATACCAAGGAAAATGTATAGCATAGCTGTTACTGGTAAACAAGAGCATTAGTGCTGGACTTAACTGCTAGTAACCAGCTGTGTGACCTTGGTCAAGTTACTGAACCTCTCTGACCCTCAATTTCCTCATCAATGCAACAAAAGCAGTAATAATACCTACCTTGCAATATTGTTATGAGACATAAAGTAAACTCTCAAGAAATGAGAGACTATTAACTTTGACTATTACCTATGTATGATATATATTCTAGTATTAATATAATTCTGTATTATTAATGTATAGCTACATAGAATTTTAGCTGTAGCTAAAATTATATTTAGCATTATACAGTTATTAAGAACACAGGCACATAGAAAAACACTCAATAAACAGTAACTAATATTATAGAGCATATATAATAGATGGAATATAAGCATTCTAGTAAATACATGGGCAATACCTCAAATAGTTCATAAAAGATGGATTTAACTAGTATGTAAACAAACATGAAAAAAATCAGCCATATTATTCTGTAAATGCTGATTTTGGGTTCTGTTAATGCTGATTTTGCTTGAGAAATGCTATTATATGGAAGGGGAGTGGGACTTAATATGAACTCTTCATTCATTCATTTATTCACTACTTATTCATTCATTCTCAGACACTGTTCTTTTTTTTTTTTTTTTTTTTTAGACGGAGTCTTGCTCTGTCACCCAAGCTGGAGTGCAGTGGCCGGATCTCAGCTCACTGCAAGCTCCGCCTCCCGGGTTCACGCCATTCTCCTGCCTCAGCCTCCCTAGTAGCTGGGACTACAGGTGCCTGCCACCTCGCCCAGCTAGTTTTTTGTATTTTTTTAGTAGAGACGGGGTTTCACCATGTTAGCCAGGATGGTCTTGATCTCCTGACCTTGTGATCCGCCCGTCTCGGCCTCCCAAAGTGCTGGGATTACAGGCTTGAGCCACCGCGCCCGGCCCAGACACTGTTCTAGAAACCTGAGATGCATCAATTAATAAAGATTCATGCATTCAAGTTTACATTCTGGGAATACAGATAAATAATAAACATAATAAATAAGTAAATTACATATAATATGTTAAAAGGTGATATATGATATGGGAAAAAAGGTGGGTAAGGGGCATCAGAAGCGTGGAGGTCAATGGTAAGCTGCAATTTCAAATAGGGTATTAAAATGGGCCTTGTTAAGGATGTAACTGAGCAAAGACAAGATGAAATGAGGGAGTTGCTCTTAGGAATATGTAAGGGTGTGAGGGAAACCCCACAGCACCAGTTGCTGCCTAGGCATTAAAAGTAGAACCCAATGGCTTAAGCCTGTGGCCAGAGATAAGAGCCTAGAGGCATAGCTCTTGCTTACAAGATGGGGCTCCTCACTTTTCCTGTTGCTTCCTTTACTTTAAACGAACCATTCAGGCTTTTGCTCACAAGCATAGTTAGCCACATCCTATTCCTACATATATATAAAATACACATATACACGCATGCTGCTAGTTACCATACTCCCTTTCTGCCTGACTCTTCATTACTGCCTCCTGTGACCAGGGACGAAGGACTGGCCTTCTGACTCATTGCTCCCTCCCTGCCCAGCATCTGTAATAATCAGTCTTTGAACTTATTTTCTATTGTAGTGGTGTATTGACTTGCACCTTCCCTCTGAAGAACCAGGGTCTGCCCCAGGCCAGGATTTTCCTGGGATGCCAGGAAGAACACAACATCAGGCTCCCAGTGCCAAAGCAATGGTCAGACGGCATAAACTGGACATAAGTCAGACAAGAGCCACAAAGGCATATGCCAGTATAAACAAGCTTCCTGTGTGAGGGACTCCTTGGTCATGGGTCAGACAACCAGGCATCAGGCCGTTCTCCAGGTGAAAGAAGTTTCCTGTGAAAGGCAAGCTGTAAACACCTATATCCAGCTCCCTGAATTTCCTGTTAGGGCAAGGTTGCCAGCCGCTCTGGTGCTGGAACCCCAATTTAGCTGGGGGCTCTCAGAACAGAGGGGCCACTCTGTGCAGAAAGAATGCCCAGTGCAAAGGCTCTGCTTGTTCATTATAAATTGTGTGGTTGGTGGGGATCAGAGTGCTGGCGCAGCAACATTTTGGAGTATATTTCACCCTCTTGAGTTTTCGGGAAGGGGGAGAAGTAGAGATCTGGACTTGTGATCATCGAATTTTGGTGTATTGGAGAAACTTCTTTAAGACCTGAAGAAGACAGTTCGGGATAGTGAAACCAGCAGAGATCACTTCTTCCCCTAGGGGGCACACTCTTGCCCTTGTATTTTCATTTTCTCTGGCTCTTCTAACACTGGGTATATGCAGATATCGGTCTTTTCTTGAATGCAGTAGTAATCTCCAAGATTCAAGTTGGAATTGCAAAGGAAATAAAAGAGCAAGATTATTAACATTTTGCATTCTAGGATATTCAGGTCAAACTTGCTCAGGGGAATAGGGTCTCCCATACTGTCAACTCTTAACATACAAGAATGCTATATTATGCAATAATTGGGAATGGGGGAAAAAAAAAAAAAAAACATGCTACACTAAAATTTGGGATCAAATGAAAGCAATCAATTTGGTATTGTCTTGTTTTGTCATCTCTGTGCATGTTTTCTTCAGAGCCCTGTGGGAAATAAGTAGTTGGCATAATACCCAACTACTAACTGCGGTTCCTTAACCTATGAAGAAAATAGGATTGAATCTATGAAGAAGGTAGGGAGCAATGAGTGAGGCTGAACCTGTAGGAGACAAGGTTAGAGAGGAAGTAGAAGGGTTTGAGCAAGGAAAATGACACTACCTTATATAACAGAGTATTTCCCCATTGGAGTACAAGCCCTTTTAATTTGGGTTTTCTGTTTCCTGTGGCCAAAAGCATTCCTAGCAGATACCTCATCTTTCTCTTCCTGGGCTTTAGCTCATCAGTTAATTCTCTTTCCACTGGAGGTAACAGATTTCATATTAAGGAAAGTGACATTTCCTCACAGTACTTCTTACCAATGTTTATGTTATCTTTTACAGATCACAGGGAAATACATCTTCACAGCAGATAGGAGCAAAATACGACTTGAATAGTTCTATTCTCATCAAGACTATTTGTAAGAAATAGGCACCGGAGATCGAGCTGAAGAAAAAAGATTTACTTGAAACTCCAGGATAGCGACAATACTGATGGCACCTTATGGGGTTTGGTTTGGAATTGGAGGTTGCTATGGAGAGCTCAGCAGCTGTCTAGGGAGTGCTCTAGTGCTCTTTCCCTTAAAGTGATTCAATTACTTTCTATATTTCTTTGTTTCTGTTTCATTAGTAAGAAGAGCTTCCCTCTGTGCCATTTAATTCAAATTCATTAGAGAGGGGCTAAGACTGGCCCATTTGCCAAGCCACACCATACAAGTCCAAGGTTGCTGAGAAGATTGTGGATTAACTACTTATAGATCAGCTGTCCAGGCATGGTCCATTTAGCTGTGGGACAGATAGGGCCCTGTCCTGTGATATGGAATAAAGGCCTTCAAGGCAACTGAGATGCATGAGTCAATGAATGAATAAATATCAAAGCAATTTGGACAGGGCAGGCAATAACAGGGATCTCTATAACATCTGCTTTCTCTCCATCAGCAAGCGGCATTTTATAAGAGCCTGTTTCCCCTGGATCTCTCTTATACTCAATATGTAATCTGAAAAATCCTTTCTGTGGCCTGCATTTCTTTGCAAGACTCAGTTCATTTGGAACGATAGTGTCCTGACAGTTGTTTTTGTTTCCTTCTTTCTAACATATCAACCTTTTGAAATCTGAACCCAATGGAGTATGTCAGCACAACCAGGCAGGTTTCTGGTAGGCCTTCACTATTAAGGTGGCATTATGACTCCTGTAAGCCCTAGGAACTTTTACTTTCATGAGCCCCATCCTCAAATAAAAAAACATTACGACTATGTTGGTATAAGGACAAATATAATACAGAATAGACAGATACAGGCTGGAGTCATTATTGATATATTCATTTAGGTCCTCAAATTTTAAAAGAAATTAAAATGTTTTCTTGATCCCTAAAAGTATCATGAGCCCCAGACACTGTGTCTGCTGCACCAACTGGGCAAGTTGCCCTGCTTGCTGTGTATCTTCTTTAGGATCACATGCTTTGCACAGTCAGATTTTCATAGCATCCTAACCTTCTTAGTCTTGCCTTCCAATAACGCTTATGCCATAAAAACATGCCCATCAGGCCAGGTGTGGTGGCTCACACCTGTAATCCCAGCACTCTGGGAGGCCGAGGCAGGTGGATCACCTGAGGTCAGGAGTTCGTGACCAGCCTGGACAACATGGTGAAACCAGTCTCTACTAAAAATACAAAAAAATTATCCGGGCATGGTGGTGCACACCTGCCATCCCAGCTACTCAGGAGGCTGAGGCAGGAGAATCACTTGACCCAGGAGGCAGAGGTTACAGTGAGCCGAGATCACGCCATTGCACTTCAGTCTAGGCAACAAGAGCAAAACTCCATCTCAAAAAAATAAATAAATAAAAGTAAAAAAGCCAATCGTTTCTCTGAAAGTTTTGAAATCTACATTTTTAAAGTTAAAGGTAATGATTTTTACATGATACCTAGGAAATTCTAATGCCTTTAGATTTCTCATTTCCATGTGGAGATATCAACTATTTTGCAGAATTAAATAAGATAAGGACGTAAAAACACATTGTAAACTACGGATCATTTTACAAAGGCTAGGTATTAATACACCTCTTTAAAAATTTAACTTCAATACCTTAATCAAAATTGTAACTATGCCAGTTCAGTTTTATTTAGAGATATTTTGGTTAAAAGGCGAGTAATGGAAAAATCAAGAGAAATGGCCGCTATTGATTCATCAGTGACTTTTATTCTTGAAAGCAGCGTAACTGTTAAGTCAGTGCTTTTTCAAACAGCTCAGTGAGGCTCTTTTCCTGCAAAACATTGATGTGATTAGTATGCCTCTTCAGAACGACAGGAGAGCATCTGTTCTTTTCCATAAAGCCTTTCCTTGGAAGACCTTTGCAGTTCTAAATACAAAGGTGAGTCCAGTCTGTCTTAATATGACTGAAGGAAGAAAGAGGCAAAGATCCCTCTTCCCTAGATGGATTAGTGTAACAGCATTGCTGGTGAAAATTCTTTCCCTTCCATCATAAATCTAGACTATTGGTAGCTATGTGTACCGGTTGCTAAAGGAGACCAATCATGCATGCTTTGGGATAAAAGCATCTTGGCCATATCATCTCCCCACTAATCCAGATTATAAAACACAGAAGAACAGGAAATAACTCACTACCAATTTAAATGCATAATTTCAGACAATCCTAAAACTAAGAGGAACTTTGAAAGTTCAACTAAGGCAATTCCCTCCCTTTATCACAGATACGTATGTTGTGAGGCTTCAACGAGATGAATCACTTGTTCTTTATATAACATTTTTTAAAAATACTAAAACATCTTTAAAGACATTGTTTTATGATAATTAGATTATCTTTGTGGTGTAGGGGAGATGTACAATCATCAACCAAAATTTAGAGGTGGGCAGACTTTTTCTATAAAAGACTGAATAGTAAATATTTTAGGCTTTGCAAGCCATATAGGGTCTCTGTTGTACTTTCTTCTTTTTCTTCTTCTTCTTCTTCTTTCAACTACCTTTAAAATTACAAAAACTTGGCTGGGTGTCATGGCTCATGACTGTAATTTCAGCACTTTGGGAGGCTGAAGCTGGAGGATCACTTGAGGCCAGGATTTGAAACCAGCCTGGGAAACATAGTAAGACCTAATCTCTACAAAATTGTTTTTAAAAATTTGCTAGGTATGGTGTATGAGCCAATAGTTCCAGCTACTCAGGAAGCTGAGGCAGGAGGCTGAACCCAGGAGTTTGAGGTTATGATGAGCTATGATTATGCCACTGCACTCCAGCCTGGGCCTGGGTAACAGAGCAGGACCCTGTCTCTTAAAATATGTGTGTGTGCGTGTGTGTGTGTGCGTGTGTGTGTGTGTGTGTATGTATGCATGTATACACTCTTCTTTTCTCACTAACCATAAAAAAACAGGCAGGTCAGATTTGCCCTGTGCGGCTGTGCAGGTTGTGATTTGCTAGCTCCTGAACTAGATAGTAAAACTGAAGCAATAAGAGATAATGTGTCAAATCACCTTATAAAACAATGATAAAATCAAGAGCAAAATTTAAATCTTCATACCTCATTCAGTATACCATTCTATATCTATGAAAAATCTCTACTTTACCTGAAATTCATCGAAACATAGGAGACATGCTTCTTCACTGATTTCTTCAGCTATAGGAGCTATTGGGTCATATGATTTAGCCATGAATCCTGGTTTCCTTTTTGGCAAACTCTGTTTAAGGCGATGTATTCCTTAAATGAATGAAATTAAACACAGATGAAATACATTAGTGTATTTTAGACAATTATAACATTTTAAAAATCTCTAAATGAAACTTTAGTATGGACATAAAATTAAGTTTAAATTTCATGTAAAATCAAATTTGATCATTGAAATTGTTTGCATTTTCTGTACTTCAAAATAAGTTGTTCAAATATTATTGTGTTCTTATAGTTGTAAGGAAACTTCAAGGTCATTCCATTTCTACTCTTCAATCATTTCAGAAATTACAAGGTAATAGACAAGTGACTAGATGCATCAACACATCCACCTTAGTCGTGTATTTCAGGGATGAGAGCAGAGGATATGATCCTGCCCAAGTAGTGTATATTATGTCTAGCATATGCAATCAGAATGTGTCCTTATCTCTAGCCTAATACACTAAGGCCAGTCCACTTCATTCATTATGTGTGTACTAAATGCTGCAAGTATTAGAGGAAAAAATCACATGATTCCTGCTCTGGGGAGGTTACAGTGCAACTGGTAAACAAATCGTGCAAAACTGGAATAACATAAGATCACTAGGAAAGCAATAAAGCTTCTATGCGTACTCAAACTGAATGCCTACATGCTAAGGTAACACAGAGTAAAGGACCTAATCAAGAATCACTTATTTAAACAGGTGCATTTTTAACATTTTTTATTGGCCCTTAGTAGAAACAGAAAACGCCTGAGCTTCATATAGTAATCTCTGTTCTCTGATTTGAAAGTATTAAATTAGTCTTAAGGACCAATTCTGGACACATTACTGACTGTTTCAACATAGCACAAAACAAATGGAACCAAATAAAATCTTACTGAAAGCAAAAATCTAATTTTTAAAAAGAGTATATGTTCATTCAATCAAGAAAACCATTCTGTAGTGTTTCCCCACTGAAAAAACTTCTTTCAGATCATTGCTTACTTTTGTGCACATCTAGCATGAAACCATGAAAATGAACCCGTTTTTTCCTCTTCATTTCCACATAAGCATAAAACATGTCCATCACCATTGTTTTTCCTGTACCTTAAAAACAAAAACAAAAAAAATAAGAATACTATTAAATAGTATGTACTGATTGCTGTAAAGATTGTTCATTAGCTTTGAGATAATGAAACCATACTCTTCCACTGGGAAGCTGAAGACTATGTCACTTCTTTAGAACGGGGAGCTTACTTTGTATGTTAAACTAGCTAAAAATAACATGCTGATATTACTCTTTTCTGTTAAAATCCTGTTTATAGGAAACACAACAATTACTTAACATTACAGGGGCTATTTCCCCCTGAAAACTATGTTCATAAACTGGCAAGATTTACAGTCTTCTCTTCCAAAAGACACTAACATAAATAAAATAATTAATTAAAAATTTATTGGGTCATTACTATGCATGAGGAACTGTTTTAAGCACTACAGGAAAATTCAAAAATGAAAAATAAGAGAAGAGGCTGGGCACGGTGGCTCATGCCTATAATCCCAGCACTTTGGGAGGCCAAGATGGGAGGATTGTCTGAGCCCAAGGATTCAAGACCAGCCTGGGAAGACCAGCCTGGGAAACATAGCAAGACCCCCAACTCAAAAAAAAAAAAAAAAGAAGAAAGAAAAGAGAAGAAAGATGAAATATAAAGATTAGTATCTAACATAAATATTGAACATGAATCATATATGTAGATTAGAGCTAGAGAATTGCCAATTTTAACACTTCCATTTTTTAAAAGCTGAGAATATAGATCTCTCAAAATAAAACCTACTTGAGGAAATTCTGATACAGTCAATCCTTATAATTATCTAATTTTCAACACTAAAACTTTTAATGACTACAATCGAATCAGTAGAGTAGAATACTCTTATCTGAGAATTCAGTTACTCAAGGCCCACAATCAATCATAGTCTAAAGATATTAAATGGAAAACTCCAAAAACAAACAATCCTCAAGAATTAAATTATGCAGCTCTCCTGAGTAGCATCAAGAGACCTCATGCCATCCCATTCCATTCCACCCAGGACATAAATCATCCCTTTGTCTGGCATATCCACACTGTATTCACTACCCTCCCGTTGGTCACTTAGTGGCCTTCTCTGTTAAAAACATAGTATATATAAGTTGGGCGCGGTGGCTCACGCCTGTAATCCCAGCACTTTGGGAGGCCAAGATGGGCAGATCACATAAGGTCAGGAGTTCGAGACCAGCCTGGCCAACATGGCAAAACCCTGTCTCTACTAACAGTACGAAAATTAGCCGGGCATGGTGGTGGGCACCTGTAATTCCAGCTACTCAGGAGGCTGAGGCAGGAGAATAGCTTGAACCTGGGACGCGGAGGTTGCAGTGAGACGGC